TCTAGGTCTCGATTGTATGCGCCGTCTAGTGGCGATGAGCGTGGGAGTGAAACCGCCATAATTATAAATAGTAAAAGCATAAGTAATTGGTTTGAACAATAAGTATTCGGTCACTATCAAAATATAATATTTTATGTATATTTCTTTAAGTGAAATTGCCAAATCTTTGTGACCAACTATTTCTTAATGTATTGAAAATTTGGAATTTTCTCAACTTTTAGTAGACTTTTCTTTTTATCTCTAGAATTCAGAACCAGTGGGCGTTAAATTTAGAGCTTGAACTCCATGCAGTCTTTTTTTGTATCTCATGATACACTTCTCTTTAAATTGGCTACGTGATGATAGCTGTTTACTTTTTCATAGTTGTAAATTATTAGTTGATGTTTTTCGAAACTTGTATTTTTCTCTTCCATGGCATTTCGAAATATCGATGTTAGATGCTTCACTTCTTTTCTCAAACTGGCTTAGTACAGTTACATTACTAATATCTACAGGGTGTTACCTGTAACGCTACTCACGATTTTTCTCCCACTTGCAGCCACCTTATGAAAAAAAGTTTAGAATAAAATTTGCAGGGTATGAAGTGCACAATAGATATTAGTAAAGCAAATTTTGAAAACAGTTTGTTCTCTTGGCAAAGTCAAGGTCACCTTGGGTTTTTTAAATAGGAACATATATTTTTTTTTATTCATAGCTTTAGAGGACATCGAGACGAATTCGAAACATATATTACATTATATTTTTATTAACATATTACTCGATTTACACGTAGCACACAAAATTACATATATATCAATAAGCCCCCAAAGTTAAGGGCTGAAATCATATTTTTGGAAATATCTCCGGAATTAAAGGAGATAATTGGAAGCTTTCTTTTGTAAAATATTGGTTTTTAAATAGGAAATTTTTGTGCATAAAAAATTTTAATAAACTTTATTTGTTTAAATAATATTTTGAAAATTTATAATTTTTGTTTAAATTTTTGTACTAAATGTTAATCTATTTTTTGCCACTTTGTGTATGTAAACTATGGACTGAAATAGAGGATACGTAATTTTGGAATTTGTTGTTTGTAGCAATGTTTATTAGATATATGTATAATTTAAAATCACTCCCTGTGAAGAAGGGCAATCAGCATATTTATTAAAAATATCATTATTTTTACAATGTTTTACAATATTCTTGACATTTTATACCTCTTCATTATGCCGTTAATTGATTTCGCAAAAATTATTGTAAGCGTCGCAGGTATGAACGTGACGCGGTTCGAACCAGCGCACAGTGTGTCGTTTGGCCAATCTAGCGGGACAAAACTCCTGCTTCAACGAAATGCTGATTATTTTTCGTTTTATTGGTTTTTTATTAATCAAAAACATGATATTTCATTAATGATTATATATATTTGCTAAATTATTTAACAGTTAAATAAACATAACAATAAAATAAACATACAAAATCATTATACAAATTTTGCTATTATTATTATATGCAATTAACGGCATATAAAGAGGTATAAAATGTCTAAAATATTGTAAAAGATTGTAAAAATAATGATATTTTTAATAAATAAATGTACCTTGTGAGATTATGATTAAAGGAAGCAATATTTAAACACAAAAATGAACATTTGAATGGACAGTGTTGTCTCGAAGCAAGTAACGCTTCGAGCTTCGAAATTAGCAAATTTCTATCGCCACTTCTTTGATTAAAGTCGAGCGCCGAATGAAAAATCCGTGACAGAGTGAGAAGTCCGTGAAACAAAAGAAACAATCATTTTTACAATTAACCGAACAGTATAGTGAAAAGAAGATAGAATAAATAATGTTTTCTCACTCTAACATGAATCGATCCAAAAAACATCAAACCGAATAGTATACCTCTTTTGAACTAAGCAACTGGAAGGTTGACTCTAATTGACAAGAATGTAAATGATACTTTAAATTTAATTTAATTACTTTCAATTCTGACAGAGAAATAACCTAATCATTCCCAGTTTTATCGAAAACTGAGCAAACGGGGAATCAATAGAAACCAGAATAATGCATAACAGCCGAATTACGTACTGTATGGTTAATAGACTCGACCGGGACTCTAACCAGATTTCATTCAAAGGGATTCTTCCTACTTAACGTTCAAGAATTAACTGGGCCCGACACGTCTTCTCCGCAACCTTTTTTATACTCGAAAATGAACGGCGATGGAAACGGCGGGAACGTTTTCATCTAATGAATGGCTGGTCCTGAATCGTTAGAAATTCTTGTATGATACCAAATAAGGAAATCCCGATCGGTGGGAAAGCCAGGCTAGACTAAACTCCTACTTCGCATTGGTCTCTGCCTGCGCCCGAACTACCAGCTCCAAAATAGAAAAACGTTTAGTATACGTAATACCGCGTTACTTTGTATAGAAAAGACAAGAACAGTAAACCTTTTCAAATTCAGAAATGTGACTTTATTGCTATAAACCGAAGAAGCTATATGATACAATTCATGCATGATAAAAGGAATTTATTTTGTCATTGGATATATAGATTGTAGTGTGACAGAAACAACATAAGGATAAAATAACATTCATTGGACTATAGTATATGTTTTTTGCAAAAAGAAAATCTCTGTACGAAAGATATTAACCGTACAAACATATGTGAGATGACGGTGACGTTTATGTACGCGGCGCCCGTATGCATAATATTTAACTATGCCAAAATGTAAGAAGTAAACATAATACATGTATATAATACTGTTACGTCACTCGCGATAAGACTGAATCGTTGCAATTCGTGCCTATGAGGGTCGTAAGTCCTCACTCGAATTATTTCGATGTCCCGAATTCACGTATTTCCTAACCGGTGGTTAAAGCGGTAAGGATAATTCTATGGGTTTTTGAATGGAGACTATGTTTTAACTTTAACGAAAATACTGTTTATTTTAAAAAGACGATGGAGTTTGGAAGTGTATGATTGTGTCGGATGTTTGTTGAATTCTGATTTCTGAGTGAAGAGATGTCGTGTAGGTAGGTTCGTGTGGGTGTGTTTAACAGGGTAGTGTCAAGGGGTAGTTGTCTGCTATTGGTGTGAAAAAATGTGTAGTGAGGGGTCTTAAGTGACCGCCTACATGTCAGGGTTTTTGGGAAAAACCCTGAAATGGTCACGTTGCCTTGATTTATTAAATGGACCCTTGACCTTAGCAAGCAATAAAATTAGGATGCGCCTTGACGTGAAGAAACATGTGTTTGAAAAAAGCGAAAAGCTAAAAACTATTACTGGCAATAAACATGGACAAACGGTGACTCTAAAGAAACTCGCGGGGTTCGTACTGGTTTCATGAGTTTATTGCTGCTGTAGAGGGTCAAAATTCGTGCGGACGATGGTTGTGTTTGTGTAAATATTAACTGTTCTTTACAACATAACGGACGCGGTATCTGGCCGCGTAACAAATACGTTAATAGATTTAGAAAAAAATTTCTGTTCTTTTTGAGCGTTATGTAGATTGTGATTAATTTTAAAACCATATTGATTTGCAAATTTGTTGTTATAAACAAGTCGTTCTTAAGAATTTCATTATTCACTTCAACATATTTGTAAAACACCACGAAACTTTTACTTAAAAGTTGTCTATGATAACTCTTGAGATAGTTGATTGCTGCAGAATCTTTAGAGAGTCGTAAATGAGTAAGATTTATTTTATTACGTTTTTTAACCCTTTCGCTACGGCAGACCCGTCCGCCGAAGTACCGTCACGGAACAGAACGCTCATACCCAAAAGTCGTGGCGCGGATGCCGCGTATATGCGGCGCTCGTACCCACAAGTCGTCGAGTGGATGCCGCATATATGCGGCGCTCGGCGCGAAAGGGATAAATATGAAAATGGACCAAACTAAATAAGTACTTATTTTTTATTTTTTGATTTTTTAAAATATTCAAAAACAATAAAAAAACGTACACTTAAAATATTTCCTTTGTCAGTCGAAAATTCTATTCTCTTTGAACCATTGATTATATTAATAATTATAATTATTTGTTTCATAAAATACTCCAGCTGCTTAGGTAAAAAAACAATTGTACAAAAGAACATAACATGGCATTGACGATAAAAAAAAGCAACAAAAAATATTTTTTAACATAGGGCAATCATGCAGCCAACTTATAAAATCAGATATTTTTCATTTTGTAACTTGGGGTTTTGTTGACAATAAGAATACGTTACAATAAAAATGCGTAAATATATAAAAATACAAAATTAAAACGTGCATTCATTCTCGGTAGTGAACATTATTATCCCTTCACGAACCTTTCAATTTAAATGCTAATCTAAAACAACCTATATGAATATTCGTGAACTTCTTGAGTTCGAAAAACGACTGAGATCAAGAACCATTTTGTGCTTTTAAAGCCCTAAATATCTTATACTTTTTGCCTTTCGTATATCTCACTATTTGGATACCAGTCTAAAAAAGTGTAACATAAGTTACTTGCTAAACTAACTGTTAAATTATTAATAAATTTAGCTTATAGCGACATCTTACAGTATTAGAAATGATGTACAATGTTAGAAACAGAATAATTGAATATTAGAAACAAAATAATTGAATATTGAACTTCCGTCTTGTCGTTATAATATGTAAGCGTTCGTGATATATTTGATTTAAAAGAAAAAGTAATCCCTGTTTAAATGGTTAATCTTTAAGTTAAAATGTTTGTTGTTTGTGTTGTTTATTAAATAATTTGTTCGTGTTCAAAAGTGTATTATTAGTTTTTTTATTTTCCATAATTCTGATTATTTAACACTAACAGCTGTTCAAAACCGACGGATTGAAAGTTGTAATCTATCGTCAACTAGTACATGTAAAGTGAAGCGTGAATCTACGTTCCTCTCGAATAACTTCTTGTGTGACGCGGACAATATTTACCATGTTCTTTAAAACATTACTGTATGTCTTTGATACTTAAATATCGGGTCATTCTCTGATTTTTATTAATTTATTTTTTTATCGTTTTACAGGAACATTTGGTAAATCATATGAGATGTCATACTGGTGAACGTCCATTTGTATGCACAGAATGCGGCAAAAGTTTTCCATTGAAGGGTAACTTACTTTTTCACATGCGTTCGCACAATAAAGGAAGTAACGCTGAAAGACCGTTCCGTTGTGACTTATGCCCTAAAGATTTCATGTGTAAGGGACACTTAGTATCTCACAGGCGTTCACATTCAGACGAAAGACCGCATAGTTGTCCAGATTGTGGAAAAACATTTGTCGAAAAAGGTAATATGTTGAGACATTTGAGAAAGCATGCGGCAGAAGGACCACCGACACAAGTGAGCACTCCATCAGCCATTCCTCAGTCTGGTGTGTTACCAATACCAGCGGCAGCTGTTTTAGTCGGCCATCCTCTGGCACCGCCAGCGCCACCAGTAGTACCACAACATACTGTTGTTGTGCCTACACCTCCTGGTGTGTTGACTTCCTATTAAACCAAATGAAGAAAGAGTATGAAAGCATTTTATTAAAAAAAAATTGATTTAAAAAAAAGTGTATACATAATGAATGTTTGTGTTAATTCATGAAAGTGCACTATTAAGTTTTGCGAAAAGAGTAGAATGTAATTTCGATGAGCAAGACAGTTGATCAGTGTTGTTATGTATTATCATAAATATTGTTTTTTATGTTATCATAACTGCAGCACCGCATTATTCTTATTTCAACTGTTCATTACAAAGTTTGTCTGCAGCTACGTACAAAGAAATATGTAAACTTAAATTTGAACAATAACTACCGCAATAGTAGTAGTACCAAAGTTAAATTTTGTTATTTCCTTTTATAAATAGTAATTTTAATAGATTATTTGTGAAAAGAGAAAATATTCAATATTATGTGTTTGTATATTCAACTTATACAGAATCCATGTGCGACACTTTGCGATTCAGTGATGAACACATTTTCACTATTAATCGAATTATAGTAACACCCTGATTATGGCACCAATATGGAGTATTAATTTTGTATATGCTAATGTATATGAAATTATTATACAAGACTAATATATCAGCTAAATGCAAAATTGTAAAATTTGACATCATATAATATGGTATACATTGAATGGTATAGTTATGATGTAAAGAAATGATCGTACAGTGCTTGAAGTTTAAAATGTTCGTTAATTTAGATTATGTTCCCCAAGATATTGTATTTAACCCTCCGACTGTTCTTGGTGCCTATTGATCAGTTATGTACAGCAAGTAGTAAAACGGATACAAGTACCCACTCACCGTTGCACGTGTGCAGCTGAATGAGCGCTGTTACAGTTGTAAATTCGGAGGACAGATTGCTCCTCACTTTTGAGTATTTTGGAGTCACATAACTGCATTACGCTATCACCAAGGAATAACTCACGGTAAAAATGATTTTGCGTTAATGATGGACGTCCATCTTATTTACTGCTGTAAATATTCGGCTAAAGTGTCTATTATGTATTTGTTATTACTTCTTTGGAAGGCCAACTTTTTTCATAGCAGTGATTTAATAACCAATATTATAAATATAAAAAATAATAAAAAATAATTATTGAAAATAATAAAACAATATTCTTCAATTATAACATGCATTTCGTGCTTAACGACTGTTATTGTAATTCATTCGTGTCACAGTGTTCACATAGCTCCCAAATAAACAACAGTCGCAGGGTTAAATTCTATTTTATATCATTTTATTCGATTTTTTTCAAAGTTATTAAGTATAAAATAAATTTCTACTCAAAATGGTTATTGTATCCAAAAAATATTTGTTGATATTCATTATTATAAATTTCATTAAAATATGTACACATTGTGCTATTAATTCATAAGCAGTAGATGATTTCATTAGATGTGGAGTGTTATTTTTAATTTTATGATTAAAATAAATCTTCTAAAATCATTTTCTCCGAAAAAATAAATTTCGTTGGCTTCGATTTGGTTTTAGAATAAGTAAAAATTTCAATACCTCATCAATTACTAATTAAATGTTTTAAAAGCAAATATATTTTATTATTTTTACGAAAGCTTGTAAACGCGACTGAGAAAGATGAATATTTCGTAAGTAATAATTTACTTAGGTATTTACTTTTAGCCAATTGCTGCGTAGTTTACTTTAATATAACAATTTATATTCAGAAATGATTTATGTTTTACACGAATTTGTATGTCGACGAAAATTTGACATTAGTTATTCGTGTTAGTTATAATTATTGTTTTTCGTGTAATTGTAATTAATGTAGTTGAGTGCAATAAGTTTGCCAGTTTCATTTAAGTTTCACCTAGAATGAAAACCACTGGTATACTGAATTTTAGGCTTACAACAAATACAGATGAAATATGTAAGTCAGTGCAGTTATCAGTAGTTGAAAAATTAATTTAAATTTTGTTTGGTTTTTAAAATCAATTTTAAATATTAATATTTGAGTATCGTCTAATTTGAAAGAAAAAAATATATTATGGATATAGCAATTCTATAAGATCACGTATTGCGTATTTACGATTAAGAATAAAATAAAATTGTAAGTTTGGTTTTACGATAATGTTGCGTTATGCTAAGTTACCTAAGCGTATTTATTAAAGTACTCAATAACAGAACATAATTACATACATTTAATTTGTATAAAATGTTAAAAATAGAAAACTCGCATTTTATCTGTTGTCGCATTACCAGACTTACTTTAATTATGTATAATATTATATCATAACAACTATTGATTAGACAGAAGAAAGATGAAAAGTTTATTAACGCGTCTGCATGCGTCATATGAAGTTTCGTGTACGATAGTGTTTGTCACTTCATAGAAGACTAGATTAATATATTATGATAAATATTAACTACATATATTAAAACAGTTAAATATCACGTACTATTTAAAAAGAAACAATGCGAAAAATAATTACAACATGATGTAACTTTGTGAGTGACATAAAATGTATGTCACGTGTGAAACGTAAACTTTTCATTACATTCATAAAGAGAGGAGAAGAGACGAAGTCTGTGCAAAGATACATCTGAAAAAATAAAACAAATATATGTGTAATATATATATTACTCACGCTTATATACATTATGTATATATTCTGTATACGATATGAGAAAGCGTACACCATGATGCCATACCGAATATACTTGAAGCAAGAGTATTATTTCCAGTAATTTGTGTAAAAGATTTCTCTGCAATATGTTCGTGGCATCAATTCTTGTAATTTGCTGAAAAGTTTAACAAAAAATAAATAGAAATAATGTTTATATGAATTATTATTACTACTACTATTACTGTTACTATTGACTTTTACTATTCGGTGGCTCACGCTTAACTTTCCGCTCGAGCTGCTTTATTAATTTGTATAGAAAAGGACACTGCGATGAAGTGAGTGAAATATATATGTATTTCTCAATCAGGATATTAAAGAAAGCAAATTTAAATGTTCTGAAACAAATATATACAAATATGTTCTGCAGAAATAATTTCGTTCGTATATTTGTTCTCAAAAATGTACTTTCAGAATTCCATTAATGAGGAATAAAAGTAATAACTATTCTTTCTATATTAATAATTTAAAATATGTAAATTTTGAGTAATGTCACTGTTTTAGCAAATAAGCAATATCTGGTATAATTATAATTAAGTGCAAGCCACCGATGACCCTTCTTTTTTATACTAATTATTTTTATATGTTATGTTACATTTTATGCAGTAATATGGAATATTTCTGGCCTACGTGATCTAAAAATGATAAATTATGTAAAGTTGACGCGGCATCGTGTTATCTACATTATTACCATAGTTGTTATTATTGTTATTGCTATTTCTGCTATAATTATTATTTTTCTTGTTTTTTTTTTGGAGACGTGCGTAAAATGTTCAAATATTCTGATCCGTTTAATAAAATAAAATCTATTTACTAAGAAATAAATAGTTAACATCTGCACTAGTCTAACCTACATAAACCAAAACGGTAAATACGAGAACATTATATTGTAAATGGATATAAAATTACCGAAATGTGTAACATTATGTACGAATAATGATTCAAAAATGGTGATGCACTGTTTTTATTTAATTTGTGCAAAGTTTCTAACACAATCAACACAATCTTTATTTATCAATTTACAAAATCTTTAACACTATTTTAAATTTTCAAACACTAACAACTTTAATCTTTAATCTTTTATCGCCTTATTTCTAAACGCTTGAATACGCCGTGGTTTCACCCATAAACAACTATCTTTTATTCCGCTCCTCTTTTCAGGGATGAACGGATGAACGTCCGCTCGCTCTTGCAACGTCGGTAACTTTTATGCAAATAGTTAATAACATTCATTACCAACGTTCGGTCACTGAAATGTCTGTCTTTGCTATTTTCGCTTCCCACACATTATTTATAACAGATTAATACTTTATTCACAGAATCGTTCTTCTTAAATGTTTATTTGAGTCGTTACGTCCAAGGGAAATTCTAAAAACTCAGCAGGAAAAAAGTTTTTATTTGATAATTAACGATGTTCGACGTTGGCGACCGTTGCTTAATTTTGATTTGTTTGGTTTGACGCAGACGTTTGCTGCATCTAATTTGATGTCTAAAACTCAAGAAGGCAAAAACTAACTTACCGAAATGTATACTATACATATCCACATAAGCGACAATTTGAAATTTAGAATTATCATTGATTTATCTTAAAATTCTGTATTCTTTCTATAACTTCTGACTTCTATAGAAACTTCATAATGGTTTCTACAGATAGTGACCTGGCCTACGATTAAAAACCGTATAATTTTCAAAATTCGAGTTACAAGTTTTATTAAATTTATAAAGGCTTGAGACAATGGATAATTAAAGCTTTAACACTTAAAATTAGGCATAACAAGATTACGAAACAAGTTCTTCAATTCAATTTGGGTTGAAGTTAAAGGAATTAACTTCAGATGAACAATTTTAAATTCAAATGACTAAAAAAATAAAATATGGAAAAAACTTTCGTGTCGCGCAAAACAAAATATATCTTATGTTAGAAAAAAACGAATAAATGCAATCATTTATTAAATCAAATGCTTGTTTAAGATACCGTTTCGTAAACAAAAATTGCCATTATATCGTTATTCATAAACCATTTATTAAATGAAATTTCTAACTACGTTAAAAGTCATTTCCTCGGTAATTTCAAATGACGAAATTACATAAAATGTACCGATTATAGTTACAAATTTGTAGAAATTTGTAATTACTATGAAACATGGTTTGACTTGTACGACACTTATAATTTAGTAGTAGGTGCATGACAATATGGTTCTTTATAATACTAAAAAATTAATGTATATAATTTCATACTCTATAAGAAGTGAAGCGACGCTCAGATCTCTAAAAAGGAAATCTGAGCGTCTACTTACGGAAAAGAAAAACTATGCTTGCATCTTGTTTATTACTTATGGCCTGCGGTGAGAGTCTCGGGTCCTGTAAACCTGATGGTGCTTGGTTTTCTGAGAAACTATCTACGCTATGGCAGTAATTAGTGTCACTATGCTTGCCAATAGGTAGTCGAAACTTTGCGTTTCTTACTTCGCTTGTACCAGGTCGGTCGTTGGAAAAAGAAGTCAAGAATGGAAAAAACTGTTTTCTCTATCCAACGACAGATTTGATAAAGCAAAGTAAAGCAAGAAACGCAAAAATTCGACTACCTACTAAAGTGTAGACGGCCCCTAATGCAGACAATAGATAATATTTTCTATCGTTAAATTCAATTTTGCTAATAATAATCTAACATATACAAAATATCAATTGTGAACTATTTAGTAGCGTAGAATTTATTTAAACAGGCATACTACGAGAACCTTTGCCGGTATATATCAGTAGTGACCGAGCGAAATTCCATTTCGATTTATTTGCATTTATCTGCTTACAGTATATCTCAAATTCATTATCCTCAAAACATTTGTTAGTTACAGGAGCAAAATATTGCCATGCTTTAAACTCTACAGCAGAGTTATCCAAACCCTACTCTGAGAGTTTGGAATGCTGCCGAAGCTTGTCATAATGTTCGAAGACATAAGATTAACGAAGTAAATGTTTTACAGATGAGGAATGTTCTCTGAATCCAACGCATTTCACGCATTTTTTTCTTCCCCTTTCAATATTCAACGAATCGGAGATATTGTTTGAAGTATATTGTCGGATTTCGAAACAGAAAAGGCAAGCCTACTCAAAAGACATTCAATTGTCTTATTATTTATGCGTCAGGCATAACAATGGTTATACTCACAACGCAGACTATGAACTTAGCCTCTCAGCAGACTCTTTAGGACTTAACATCGTTTGCCAATAAGCGGTTTATTTTCATAAATAGATTTCAATTCGCATATGAAGTTAAATTTAGTGTTATATTCTTTTATGGATTTTCCCGAGCTAGCTAAAATATTTTAGGAATAGCATTTCTTGCAACAAGCATTTCTTCTTATCTTTAAGGATTTCGTAATTGCTTAAACAATATACATTTTGTACATGCAGACTATTTAAAATCACGCTTCGTAATAATAAGTCGATATTTTGCACGATAATAATATTATTGGAGGACTTACCTAGTGAATCAGCACGGATAAGCATATTAGAACTGATGTATCCAAAATAAGTTAGTTGACATTATTTTCGTCTTTTTTGTTAAGTTATAATCAAGAAGCTAGTTATAATCGATCAATGATATAGAATATAGATGTAAACCAAAATATGTGAATAAGAACTGCTATAGGAAGTCCACAAAAGAAAAGATTACTTCCGACATGCGGAGAACAAACAAAAACTGATAGACTGACGAGTATGCTGAACGGACTATTGTTGAATGGACTATACGTTTAACTGTAATTCGAATTGTTTGCTTTCTGCGATTATATTCGACCGTTGTAGCCCATAGGTGAATAAGTTTACTTTTACAGATGTACAGGATTTACAATGGATTTACCAAGCTATGCGTATTGATACCACCACTGCATTTTGCCAAACAACCTTGCTATTATACCGAGAATAGGTTATGAAAAACAAGTAGAGGTAATCATTTAGAAAACGGACAACCTTTCCGATTTCGATAATTTGGAAACATATTGTAGAAATTATTATTTTTAGTAACTTTTTGTTATACATATAACCGCCGCACAGTGATGAAAAACGGCGAAAACGTGAACAAAACTGATATCTTCGATTCTGAGGTAAATTATTCGTATATTTTATGATAAAATAATTATATTAATATTATAAATTAATTTTTTGTGTTGAAAATCGAATTTTGATTTGTTAGTTGATAAATACGGAATAATGTATGTATAAATTTTTAGTCAAATCTTTGGTCATTTTAATCTTGAATATTTGAACTATCATAATAACATGTTTGTTAATAACAAATTAATTTGCTAATATCACAAATTGCAAATAAATGTTTATTTCTTAAATTTTTGTATAAAGTTTAAATATCTAATATGTAATATATAATATGGATATGTAGTTTGAAATCTTACCTACAAAACAAGACCTTTTGCAAAACTGAGTGCATAAAATTAACATCACAATGCGCTATACAAGAAATACTGTACCTTCATGTTTGGCGAGTAGTATAAATAGATTTCATATGCGTTTTAGGAGATTTACATTTGCGAAAGAATGTTAATCGCTACTCTTGGCCAATTTGAAGCCAAGCCTTTTTTCGAGAAAAAAAGTTTCAAAGATATGAAATTGATTACTTATAGATTGTTTATAAGAAAGGTGTCATTGCGCAATAGATACCGCAAAATAGTGTTGTTCCATCAGGGAAGGATGGAAAAGGTTAGTATGAATAAAGTGGAATAGTACAATAGTTAAAATGAATAATAAAATAATTAGAAAAGAATAGTATAATAATTAATCGCCATCTTCTTCGAATGCTTCGAATGCGCAAAATTAAATAACATATTCAAAATAATCTTTTAATTTTGCGCCGCCTCCGAAAAGGTTGAAATGTATTTAATATAATACCTAACGAGTATCAATTAAACCAGTAAATATAGCCCAAATTATGTCGTGTTTGGTCTCATTTTAATCAGAAAAATGTAAAGAATCTATTGGTAAAAGTTGGTTCTCGAAAAAATCAAAAATAAAAAAGTTTTATATTTGCATATGTACTACTTCACGGATATATCCGACCCCGGATCATATTACATTTCTCGGCGATCGAGCTTCTTGGCGTCTGAAGGGGTCTTCCCCCCAGTGGTGGGGATAACTTTGGTGCACATATCGTACAGATCATTTGTGCACATATCGAATATTCACTGGTAACGTGTTACCTGCGGGCGAATGGTGCCAGTGTGGCACAAGTCGGATCTCCCACCTCCACGTGGTGTCCGCTGGGATAGAGGCACTCTATGCCCTTCGGTAGTACTTCGTTGCTACCCAAGGGTAAGTGCCTCTATGCTAACGGGAGAACGGCGGACCCCCTAGTGGGGTTTATGCTCACACCGTAAGTCTGTGGTCATGTTTCACAGGAACGGGGGCCTTGCCTTAACCGGCCGGGCCGCGAGGATGTAAACCTCTATAAAAAATACCCTAACCCTAAGCTATGGTGCGCGTCGATG